GTTACGAACGATTACGCTTGTAAAACAATAACCGTCCCATCCGTGGAGATAAATTTTACACGCGATTTTGAATCAAGCGGACGGCGGAGACAAAAGAGTTGAAAAAACTGGAAACTGCCAATACTCGGATGGTTATGAACAGGTAGTACATTTGGGATAGCATTTTTCATCCCCCCCCCTTTTTTTTTTCGATATAACCGAGTTCGAGTCCATTGTGCACGAACAATGAGTCGCGCTTCCCCTCGTTTTTATCCCCTCCTTTTTTCCTTTTCTCTTTATTTCGTCTTTCCAAGTGAAACATTGACTCAACCAATCCACAGTCACCGAGATAAAATGAATAATGCATTTTATTCTCGGCCTCTTTTCGCGTACAATGAAGTTTCGTTCGAAGGGAGACGAAAGAGTGACGAGAGAGATGTTGAGCAACGAGCAAGGTAATAAATACCGACGAGAGCCGACAATGGCCATTATATACGGTTGGAGAATTAAAAAAAAAAAAAAAGAAAAACGTTTGATCTCCGCTCGCCTAATTTTCACAGGAACAATGCCGAATTTAACACCTATGGTTTATTTCAATTAAAACATTATCAGGAGGATCAAAGCGCGGTCTCGATTCGAGCCAGGTGTTAATTAATATCCTTTTCTAATTCTTCTCCGGATCAACGTTAATTAATCTCTCTCCTACAAATGTTGCGAGAACGTTTCGTTACTTAAAAAGTTCGTTTATTTCAAAATTTTAAATAGGAAGGCTTTATTCTATTTATTTATCTTGTTCAAGTCAAACAATTTCCAAATCAGGAATAACATGGAGAAACGAAGCGCTTTGGAGAAAGTCGTGTAGACCCCGGAGCCGGGGTTCACACGCCACGGGCTCGACCTCGCTATACGTATATATAAGAAATATTAAACTAACATACCAAAATTTACACACGAAAATGTTAATGCTTCCCCGATACTTAATTAATTTATTGCATTTTTAATCGTTGTTCAAATAAATTTTAAACAATTTTAAAAATATATTCAAACAAGGGATAGAACTCGTTCCATCGTCGCAAATCAGGCATTTTGAAATTCATCGAAATCGACGAAACACTAGCTGGAACGTTTCTGCCTTGGGAAAATTATAAGCCCCGCGCTTGTTGTTGTTCCGCTACACCGTGTATTTGCGTTCCATCCGATTTAACCGAGTACAACGAGTGCAACAGCTGACTTGCCCAACACATGCACCAGATGCTCTCGCTTCCTGCAGTTTTACATTTTCCTATTCGTCCGCGCGTCGAGGATAACGTTACGGGAAATCGATAAGCGGGGGCTTTGCAGTCGAGGATGCAGATATACCCGGGGCCAACGGCGAAGAAGAAGCCGTAGTTACGATCCGCAAAAAGCGACCCACGTATATGCCTGGATCTGTGAATATATCGATAAGAAGCGTGAACTTTTTGACGAAGATCGATGAAGTTGAAATATGAGTAATAATAATAAAAATAATTGGTACAATGTTTTTATTGTTAAAATTGGCAGAATTTATTTTTCATAGATAGAACCTAGAGGTGAATCTTTTGATAAGGATCGAATATATTTTGTAGAATATTTTAAAATATTTGGATAGATTATTCTTTGATTTATAAAATTGGCAGAATTTGTAAAAATTTTTTTTTTAAACATTTTCACCACGTTTCTTTTTGGTTTAATCTCTTTTTTTTTATCTTTATTTTATTCGTATTTCCTAATGGAAATATGAAATATGAATTTGAATATCTAATCTAAAGAGTTATATATGTTCGTATGAATATCATAATAACATGCACATATAATGAATATATCGTATTATTCTTATTTTCCTTGTTTTAATATTTTAAATCGTTATTAGACACGTGTCTAATTTTTTTTCTGGTATAGTTAGTAGTATTTTATCATTTTATTTTACTATTATTAATTATTATTGTTCAAATTTCGATGTTCTAGAATTTTTTTATTCTTAAGAAATTAATATAAAAAGCAGATTAAAGTCAGATTGAAAAAACAAAAAGAAACAAACGTAATCTAAAAATACATATTATTTAGATAATTTCGTGAAATGGAAATTCGTTTAAAAATATATTACTACCACGATTATCGATTCGCAAATTCTGAATGAAAGGCAAAGTACTTATGCAAAGTATATAAAAACTCATTATGTTTCTCGACGATTCTCTTTATACGGAATAAATGTTTGAAATAAACTTTCGAGTATTTCAATTCACAGTTACAACTTTCCACATTATTCCTCACATTTTCTTCTTTGTTATATTTTTTTCCTTTTTTTCACATAACAACCGACGAGAGTTAAAAATTAAAAAAAAAAGAAAAAGAAAAGAAAAGAAAAATCACAAAACGTGATTCCCAGAATGGAAACAGTGTCGAAAAGTAACTCTGTCGTAAAATTAGATGAACCGTGGGTTTTTGAAAATTTGATGGCGCCACGGGAGTCACCGGAAGTCTCGTCATGTAACGTAATTACGAAATTCGGGTCGAGGATGAATTTCGTTGGAATATTTATGATACGCCATGATTCGGGTAATCAGATACGGAAAACTTTGTCGGTAATTTACCATGTGAACCGTTTCATCAAAGTTGTCTGACCAAATAAAGAGCGAATCATCTTCTCGTGGGAAAATTTTGCTATCAGAAGATAAAAAAACGGCACAAAAAAGGGAACTTCATTTGTGTGAGCAGAGAACAAACAATATTACTTAATAACTTAACGATCTAATCTAACCTTCTAACTTAATTCAATATGTAATTGAACCTAACCTATAATTTATAAATATATATATATATATATATTTAATATTTAACAAATATTTAGGTTGTTCTTGCAATAAAAGTCTATTTTATTCTTCTATCTATTTAATTTTTCCTTTGACTAAAAAATAATATAAAATAATAAAAGTAAAATAATAAAAGTTCGTGTTAATACGTAAATATTTCACGAAATTATCTAAAATATATAACAAGATTGTTAATGATCAATTGTTAATATATTTAGTTTAGAAATTCTTTCGAGACAGTTTCTATTACGAGATTCGAAAGAGTTAATCAAAGAAGTGAAGGTTTATTCGTGACCGAGCAACAATAAAGTTTCGAATTAGATTCGTGCAAGCAAGTATACGACTCGCAGGAGATCCACGCCATCTTATCCCGCTACTTCCAAATAATCTTTTCCAGGCTTTACGAGACGAACAAAGAGATTTTTGTGGCGGTAGAGAATGGGAAACAATCGATGAGAATTGTAGAATATGGAAGAGGATAAGCGAATAGTTCTCGGCTATTTCTTTTTGTTTTAACTTTAGAAATCTATTTGATTTTAGTATCGAGAAAAGTAATTTAGAAATTATACGAAAATTTCTCTTCGATGTTCCAAAATAAAAATTCAAAAAATACGAAAGTATATATTATTTTTTTAGAAAAAATTCTTTAAGTTTAAAAAAAAACACTTAGAATGAGCAGATAAAAAATTTTAAATATATCAAACGTATTATAATTATCTCTCGATTTACATTTCACATTTAGTCTATCTTATTAACGGTGCAATGATCATTTGTTACGTTAAAAACGTAATATATCGTACACGTGTAAATCATAACGGGATATAGATTTCCTATTTTTTTTCTTTTTTTTTTCATCACGATTTACGTCTCTCGAATATAAAAGAACACGAGGAGTAAACATTTCGAAAGCTCTTTCTCCTCCAGTTCTTCAAAACGATTTTCGTAGTCAATCTTTCGTCTCGATATCCATGTTTCGAGCACTCTCCTCTCTCTGCGTCTAACTTCTTCTCGACATGACGTTGGCGACCTTTCCAATCCTTTCAACCAGCGGAAAAAGCGTCTCGTTACGGCTTGCAGAGCCAAGCCGAGACAGAACAAGAAATACGCCTTCGTTCACTTTGCCGGTATTACTGTCCCCTTATTTACGTCGTGTATAAAATGCTTCGAGCTTTCTTTCTCCTCCTTGCCCGAGAATCGATGGCTAGAAAAACGATGGCAGAAAAGACGTTGTTCCAACGTTGCAAATGCTTTAACATCGACCTCGTTTTTCCAGTTATGAACAAAGGGCAACAAGTTGGCGAAACGTTACGCCGCTTCTCTTAAAGGACTTTTAGAAATTTGTGAAAAGATAGGTGTTTTTTTGAGAAGAATGGATTAGAACATAGAATTAGAAAATAGAACTCCTTATCCATTGATATCTCATTTTTGATAAAATATTTCGTGAAGTGTTTTCATATTAATACCAAATTTTATTGTTTTACATTGTTTTTTAATCGAACGAAAAATTATGGAGGAATTCAAGAGAAAAGTAGACTTTTATTACATGAACTAAATATTTGTTAAATATATATATTTGTATATATCATAGGTTAGGTTCGATTATTTGTTGAACAGGATAAATTATTAGATTAAATTTCCTTTCATATTAATATAAACTTTTATTATTTTATTTATTTATTGCTTATTCGAATTTATTCTTGATTGTTTTTGTAATATTTTCGATTAAGGAGAAACATTTTTCGCATCGAGTTTATTTATTTCGAAAACACACAAATAGAACACATTATTTATTTACTGAATTTATCGATGTTTCGATATTTGTAAATATTTTGAAAAAGGGGAAAAATTCGTATCGAGTTTGTATCTCAATCCTCAATTAATTTCGCGTTTAATTTGCAATTAGTACTGACGCTCCTCGCCGACTTGGAATTCAACGTAGATTAAGCCAAAGTGAACTCTGTACAGCTTGATTTAGTGTCAAGCATCGATTCATCCATTCAAGACGAGCTTCACACTCTCGATCCCCACATGTGTATCTCTCGAATTACGCGCGAATAATTATTCTTAACAAAACCATTCCGTTCCCTCAATACCCGATATTTCGCTCGAACTCTATTCCCCTTTGGCAGAATTAAACCTCTACGATTCGATTATCGAGTGTAATTTCGAAGGAAAAAACTCGATTTCGAAAGAGAAAATAAAATAGCCGATCTTTATCGAGCCCGATAAACATAGTAGTCGAACAGCTAATTAACTTTGGCACTGGACGGCGCTTTGTTCGTTGTTGCGAGGTTCGAGAGGCGAACCGTATAAATTGCATTGCCAATTATGTCGCGCACATGGAAAACCGGTTTAAAACCGATCGTTCGCGCTTCCGTCCCCAGGTGGAGACACCTTCCATTCGCCATATTTTATTTACCTTTCTTTTTATATTTGCAGGAATAGAAGAGTGGAAATGTCAGAGGTGAGAGAGGTGATGGAAGGTGAAAGGTGATCTTCGTGTCTTTGAAGATGATTTCTTTTTTAAAAAAAAAAGCGATGGTCGAAACAGCTTTCGAGAAGCTGTTAGGATTGGAAATTGTAAGTTAATTGGAATGCGATTTTAACATTCTTCGTTTTCATGTTATTTAGTTTAAATAATAAAATATTTAAAAAGAAATTGCTCGGCTATTTTATTATTACGAAGTGACAAAATTCAGGGTATAATAGCATAATTTAGAAATTTTTTGACGTTATTTTGCGTTTTTTGAAAAAATCGCAACCTTAACCTGCAAAGATATCGTTCGTATTTTTTTTAAGATCAACAACAACGAATCCATCGAGTTTCTCAAAAAGCGTTTGCCAAATTGTTCTTGGAGAGGAACGAAGGAACAAAAGGTACGAAGTAATGAAAATCTCTTATTGTTATTCCTTCGTCTCGAGTCTTCAGCATAGTTGCTTTCGTCTGCACAGAAACATAAAAGCACGGAGTCGCGTCCGTATTGTCCGTAAGAAATCGCGGCGAAAATAAATATTTGCGAAAACAATGGAGCATCGAGTATAGGCACAGAGAAAGGCGAGCACCACCCAGCGATAGAACCGCTCGAAAATTCCATCAAAAGTCCATTCAATCCAACGTTCGAACAATCGTTCGACCGACGACAGTTTCTGTTTTTTTTTTTTTTCCCCTTTCTTTTTCCACTTTTCCAGCACCCATGTGTTCTTTTTTTTTTTGTTCGCCATATGCAATAACTCGTTCGTTCGATTCACGTGTCGTTCACTTTCGATCCGTTCCTCTGAACAGGGACAAGGACGAGTTTCCAGTTTAATTGATCCCGTATGATCGTTTATTTTTAAGATGGAATAAAATTCGTCCAATCCTTCGATGAAATGTGTATCTTCTGTCAATCTATTCGATATCAATCCTATTCGTGCAATATTAATCTCTTTTTTTGGATATTCACTCCCAAGTTCATCGTATTTTTTTGTTCCATGGAAATCATAATCACTGTCTCATCATCATTTATTTGACATTTAACAATGTGGATGACAAACGTTCTGAAGAATAATAATAAAATTAATGGGTGCAAAGGGTTTCAAAAATTCTTTGAAAGGGTTTGAGAGAAAAGAATTGAAGAAGAAATATGATTCGGTCAAGTTCACTTCAATGAAATCCATCATTCAATACTTGGCAACATCGACGGTAATTATTTTCAAAGAATGATGAAAATCTAGTGTAGTAGAGGAGTGGAAAGAGTTCTTTGAAAAGATGAAAGAGTCCAAGTCATCGTTGACGATAATTATCTTGGAAAACGGAATGGAAAAAAAAATTCTTTGATTACATTTGATTCAGCCAAGTTTGTTTTATCTTTTCTCATATTGAAGCCAT